CGTGGGGCCCTGTTGGAGGCTGACTGTTCCACCCTGCTAACAGACGTCCCATGTGGGACCCCTTCTTCCAAGGCTCTTCGACACTGCTCACCTCCTGCAGCCAGGGCCCACGCGTCCTCAACACGCCATCCAAGCTCAAATCTCCTCAGTCAAGCGCCTTCCACTCGTCCACCTCTCACCCCTGGTTCTCCACTCTGCAACCCAACAGAGTCCGTGACAAAAAGACACCGGACAAGGTTTTCCAGTCGAAACGCATTCAGACCTCCTCTGTTTGTGTCAGGCCGCCTGGGGAGGGTGATCTTCGGACGAACCATGCCAGCTCTGTGGTGGGTGGGCCACTAATCTCTCACACTGCGTGTGCGACGTGCTCGTACTCCATGGATCCAGTGCCTCAGACGCCTGCCCCCACAGGGAAGAGGAGGAGCGGCAGGAAGGACCAAGTGACAGAGCTTTGGCTGAAAGGCATGCAGCCCACTGCTCCCCTCAGGATGCAAGAACATCTACCCTGATCGGCCAGACCTCCCTGGGGGAGTAATGCGAAATGGATAATGGACCCTTTCTCAGCGTACCTAAACAGTGAAATGTTACGCTCCGTGAATGCTGTCTTATTAAGGACTGCACATGTACGAAAGAGCAGCAACGTTACAAGACAGAAAGCTGTTGAGCACATTCAGCTGTGCCTGAATGTGCCATTACTTTGCATGTGTTCTTGGCAGTGGTTTTTTTCTCCCAGGGAGAGCGTATTGGGTTGGCTTTTATATTGTTCAGCAACAGCTCGGGTCAGTCCACACTTTCTTCTCATGGCTTTAAAGCCTCTAACGTCTGCTGCAAACTGTTTAATATGCATACAGTCTCTCCCCTGAGCCCCATCGAGTAACCGAGAGAGTTGTGGTTACGAAGGAGCAGCTAAGCCGCAGTTCTGGAGAAACAGGAAGTTCTGACTCTCATTCCCAGCTCGTCAAACACCGCCACACCGGGTTGGTGCCACTAACCTCCTGGTAGAGTTCTTCCTCCTGATTGGATAAGGTGAGAACAGGATAGCAGCTGCAGAACGGAGGGACTGTTACTGACTGATACACTATATCCCAGTGATGGCGTCCCAGCAATGGTGAGTTGTTTAACACTTAAAAAAAATATCGCTTACAGCTACTTTAACACAGTGTGGTTGGCGTCAGGCAATTACCTCGGTTACCATTTTGAAAGGAATGTCATGTAATTAAAAGGAAATGTCACTGTACCCCTTATTTTTTCTGGATTCTCAACAGAACTTTACCACTGTGTCATTCAGCAGTGACATGGACATTGATATGGTGGCTGTAATACAAAAGCACAACATTACTTTCTCTGACTAGGATCAAAATGTCAAGTCGTCGTACCTGTGGGGAATTACCAGCAGTGTGTCTGATAAGCCCAGAGCTGATGTCACTTTTGGTACTTTTAACGTTTGAAGATGCTGACGTATATTCCAAACTCCACACTGCACATTTTCAAGACAGCTACATTACATACATACATACATGAGGCCGATAGAATCAGGTTCCTCTGGCTCCTCCTAGTGAATCCACCGCATCTGAATGAAAACAACCAATCAGAGCCGAGAAAGATAGACAGCTACATTTGGCTGTTCAGACCAGCTCTCGTTCAAGGCTTCAGACAATAGAATGAGCTGATTTACATATTATTTCTTTGATATACATATTATGTATGAGCTCACTGAATTACACTAATGTGACTTGAATTTTGTATGATGTATTAAAAGACATGAGAGTGGAGTATTTTTGTATTGGAGTGAGTTAAGGTATCTAACTAGGTACAGTCTTATTAGCTAGTAATGTCAGACTGGCAAAGGTTCCTGCTAAGTTTCGACACAGCCTGGAAAACATGGGAAACCTTGAACTTTAAAATGACCAAATATCCTGGAAATAATCTAAGTTGTCCTGGAAAATTTGTATTGTATTTTTTTGTTGTATGTTAGCCCTTCACACAGCTGCAGATTGCCTTTGTATTTAGTTTGAAACTTAACTGTTGGTGGAGAACCTGCGGCTTTAGCAGACGTGGAACAAACCTGCAGCAATGTTTTTGGTGTCAAGTGTATTTTTTTCCCAGAGCTGTGAGCAGAATTCCCATGAAAGCCCGGTGGAAGATTTTCTGGTTGTGGTTAATAAATACGTGCACAGGGATGTTAATTACATGTGCAACAAACACTTCCTACTTCTTCTAATAGACAAAAAGATTTTCATTTTCTGTAAAATGAAATAAATTCTACTTTATTTGAACTGTTGAACCTATGGGCTGTGGCCAAAGTCATGTAAGTAATGAATAAAATTGTGATTAAATGTATCAATTCAAAGTGTACTGGTAAATTATATGATGTCTGTTAGGAAGTGCTGTCCTTCACTGTCAAGAAAACTCCAGAAAATCCTGGAAAAGGATTTCTTAAAGAGTGGGAACCCTGAAATAACTTGTGTATGTAATGTAAAACTGCAGATGAATTTGTAAAAATCATTTAATACTGTTTCTTTGATGATTATTCACAACAAATATTACAGACAATCCAGTTCATAGTGTCCATTTATTTTAAAATTTAAAAAAGGAACCCAAATAATGAGAAAACAGTTAAAATAATGTAAACATGAGTGGTCCCATGATATCCAGCACCCATTGAACAGTTTAAAGCCCTTTTTCAGCAGCTTACGCAATAACACAATAATCACTTCCACATGAAGTCAGTTACAGTCTGTTTTCCACATATGCACATATACAACAGAATTGGACAGATGAGTAGTTGAACACTTTATCAATTTTTCTCCGCACACTGTCACTGAAACGTTTGACATAGAGACAGATAAGGCACAGGGTGAGTTCAGATCTTTACAGAAAGGCATCAGAGACAGCAAAGTGGTTGAAAGCAAACTGCTTGTGCTTCAAGTGTCATATTAGTGCTACTGTTAGTGGTGTTCTCCTGAGACAGCTCAATGAGACTGTAAAAATCCATCATCCTCTCAACTCCAGTCAGAAACACTTTGGTTGCGCTAACAGGAGCTCTCAATCCTTCCAGCTCCTTCACTTGAGCAGTTACACCATGATTTCAGGAAATGACTGCAGGTTTGGCAGCATGAGTTAAGCAGTTAAAGATCATTTCCAGACTTTCCTCTCAATGGCAGAACATTTATAAAGGGCCAAGATGCTGAAGTTGAGTAAATGTATTCACAAAGTTCATTACCCCGTACACCCTGCAAATGGCTGCATTGACGCTGGAGACAAAGTGGACATGTCTCACATGATATTTTCACGTATATAAAGTCTTTGAGATTAAAAAAATAATGAGTAAATATTGTAAATATTCCTCGAGGGTTGTCAAATTCAAAAGAGATCTTTAATTATCTGTCTGTAGCGTTGCCAGATGAAAGAAAAAACAAAAACTCTTCCTGACCGCTATTCAAGTGGTATCTCTATGACGTCCTCCTCGATGATGTCCCCCTGTGGCACGGTGACGTGCTCTCGGGAGCTCTTCTTGCAGCTCAGCCCTGCGAACGGGCTGCACCAGGACAGAGAGAACGGGCCACCGAACGCCATCTGCATGGCTTCCCAACACGGCACCTTCCCCCACTTCCCCGTCTCTCCCTTTAGGCGCTCGATCCCCTGGAGAAGACACAACAGTGAGTGTCTGAGGTGAAAGGAGCAGTGCCAATAGGACTGGGTGTCGGTCGTTTTCTACATGCACTATCAGTCACTACTTTGACACAAAGCTGATGACTAAAACTGCAACACCACTATGATTTAGCTCTTTGGGCCTGTTTCTCAGACGCAGTCACAAAGATAGTTTTGGATATATTAATATTTACTATTTTGCCATATGTACGTATGTTGAAGGAGTATTGGTCGCTGTATTCGTTCCTCCTGTCCATACTGGCCATCAAGCAATGTTTTGCTAGAGTGACTACACGGTAGGGATGGGACCATATACAATGTTATTACGTATCGCAATAAAAACATGACATTAACACGAGTGAAAACGTTGTGTAGCTTGCTAACACACTCACTAATGTATTGATTTCCTGACTTATTTGAATTGCCACAAGGGATGGCTGAAGGCTTAGCTTGTTCTGTGCATAAGCAGAGCAGTCTGTGCCACATACTCCAACAGGTTTGGCTTTTTCATATAAATGCATTGTTACTCTGATCTCATCTATAGAGGGTTGCATTAATACGTTTGAAGAAGTCAGCATTTTAGCACTTCTGCTTCCCTTTCCTCCTTGCGGTTTTTGATCCGGTTCCTGGTTACATGCCTGAAATACGGTCTGTGGTTAACACAAGCTTAAGAGATTTTCACATCACTTTTCACTGTGAATTTTAAAGCTTGTGTGTGTCTTACAAAAGGCAGTTGCTTACAAATGAGACTACAGAGGTTGTTGGTGGATTTTATCTTCCATCTTTTTCAGTGTAGCTGTGGAAGGATGGCCAGTATAGACAGGAGGAGTGCTTACAGTAACCAGCTCTTTCAATCTACATAAGGCATGTGACCATTGTGTTAATAGTTTTTTTTTTTTTAAATGTATCCTTTAAATGTTTTTATATCAGTTCTGATTCATTCAAGAAACATGCCCAGACTGTAATAAAACACTGTACAATGACTTACATGCACTTTAAAAATAAAGAATAAACCCCTGTGGAAGAAGCAAAAATGTCAAATGGTAAAAAACAGCACATGCATCCTGTTACACAGAGCTCACTCATTCATTCATAATGTTTGGTTGAATCTGAAACGGCAGACAAAAAAGGAAAAAAGGACATGAAGCGCACTTTGGCCTTCAGATTGGAATCTGCATGCTTGTGTGATGTGTTAAGCTTGATGGGATGGCTAATGTGACCTCTGTTACAAGCTTACCTCTCCTCAAGATTATAAAGAGTTGTCTGCTTCAGAAAGCTTTTGGCACAATGAGTTATCAACCAAAGCAAATGCATGAGTGTGGAGAGAACATCGCATGGGAGAGAGGCAGATTACAGACAGTACAGTGGGAACAGAATGAAAGACAAGGACAGAGTGAAAATGTAACAATGCGGGTGGGACAGGACTGTATGCAGGGGAAGAAGAAATCTTTTGTGACAATACTTAAACAAAATTGAGATGCACAAACACACATTTGGTTGCAGCAGCCCCTGACACAGTCAAAGGGAGATAAATACATCCAAAAAAGCAAGCAAACACAGTTTTTGCATTGCAACTGAGAAGTATTTATTCTCTGCGCATGTGCTGAAATATCTTCAGAATATTTAGAAAGAATTAAAATTTCTGTAAAAAACAAATCATCTCCACCATCACTCTCACCGGCGAGACTTGGCACCATCATACCAGCAGTTTCACATACATTACTAAACTAGCCTTCACCTGTACCATGCACTCAGATAACAAAGGATACATACAATATCATGTAAACAGAGAATAGAAGAATAAAATGCACACAGAGCAGTTCACACAGGAGAAAAAAATCTTAAATGATAAATACAAAGTGCGAATTAGCCTTTCTAGTACTCGTGAGAATGTGAATGATAAAGTTAATACTTTGTTTCATGTTAAATGCTTTGAAGTAATGTGGAATAGTGCAGAAATAGTCCAGCTTATATCTCGCTGCTGCATAAGAGGATGTATGCAGTTTTCTATATGGTGCTTCCCTTTGGATCCACACAGGATTTAACACATTTCATCCAGCCATGACAACTTCAAAGCTAGGCCAGTGTCCTTTTATCTAGGCATTTCATTTAAAAGCTTCCCCCAAGTAATCATGTAATTGTGGGGTTCACTGAATTTGGCACACCAAAACACCACATGGGCTTAGAGCGCGCACACACAGGGAGCGTTGGTGTTAGTGTGGGCGGCCAAACCTTTCCTCAAAGAAAGAGGGAGAATGAGCATGTATTACAGTATGGTTGTTGACTACTGAAAACATTCTAGCAGCCACGTTTTACCGCTCAAAGACATTTGTACAGACTGAAATCATTTCATTTCCTCAATGAGCAGCACTGCAAGAATGAAGCAAAACCTGCTGCAGCGTTTTGATTCTGGATCCTGTTTGGTGGAGCGATCAGAAACTTCCTGGTTCATTTTAATAATAAAAAAATAAAACATCAATGCTCTCCAGCAAATGCATCGTTCATGTCAAGCATGTATCAGAGAGGAATCAGAGAGAATGTTCCACACTTGGACAACATGTAGCTATTAAAGTCATTTAAAACACCTGACTTTTTTTGGCCTTGTATGTTGTTTTCTCAGAAGGATACTTAAGTTCATGTAAGGCTCAAATACAACACTGTAAAGGAGCATTTTTCCCCCTCTATGGTGAGATGCTGTCTACTTGAGCGGTGTCTCACAGGTGAGCTGTGGACAGTTTGAATCAAGGGCACAGAATTAGCAGCAGCCAGATGCTGGTAAAGTATGCAAGTGGCTGGGTGATTTGCTTCACTCTCAGGCCCAGAAAAACAATTAAGTGGCTCGTAAAATTTGACATCCATCCAGAAAGAGAGAAAGAACAATTTCAACGAATCAAAGTGAATTCTGCACGACATTGCAATTTTGTCCAATCACCACAGCCCCCCTACAATGCTATGATTCACTTTTCATTCTCACTGGAACAAGTTACCTTTGATTTTTTTCATGAATTATACAAAATAAATCTAAAACTATTGTTAACTATTTTTCCAATTTTCACTTTCTCCTGCAATTTAAAATGACTGCAAATCACAACATGCATCGCCATTTTGTATTAAAGTAGGCATTTTAGGCCGCAACAATCCCCAAAACAGCCAGTGAAATCCTGGAGGTGGGGTGTATTTAAAATATTTCCACATTCATAATTAACCACAAATCCACAATAATGAAGACGAACTGTTCCTTTATGTGCTGTACTTGCCACCATTTAAAGGGTCGGCCTTAGAATGGATCTGTTAGCAGAACGGCTCCCACAAGGAATCTGATAGTAGAGTCTGTAACCTAATCATTCATTCATCCATCCATCCATTCTAGTGAAGACGTCTTTAAAAGCTTCATTTTGTCCACATCTGGAACACACTGCTGATAACTGTCCGGCAAGAGGGAGATTTAAAGGGTCAGTTCACCCAAATTAACAAAAAGACATATTTTTACACATGTAGCCATGCAGATAGTTTTAATTTTCCACTCTCACCCTAGTACAATGGAGGTGAATGGAACCCTGTTTAAAAAACTCAAAAGCAAATTGTATATCCAGAAACAATGTCCTGGTTACTCTGGATAGTCCAGACCTCACTGTAAAATACACAGATTTCAGAAGCACCTTTTGTTTTACAGGGTTCTGTTGAAATCTGCAGGTCAACGTAACCATTATAAATGCAATTTAAGACATATTTGATATCCATACTGGAAAAGTACAAAAGTTATGAAGAAAACTTCTTACAGCATAATTAATACAAAATTAGTCCTGTCAAAATCATATTTAAGACAATTCAGGGCCTACAATTCAGATTATTGAATTTGACACCCTCTTAATACTTTTTACCTCGCAGGGGCAATCAATAAATCAAATCTTCTGGGGGGAAAAACGATGGCTGGCCTACCTGCCCGTCTACCTACCTGTGGGCACTCATTGCTCATGAAAATGTGATTTGATCAGTCACTCTAGTGGAGGCCTGAAGGTAAAAGGTGGGATTTATTCAGTTGGAAAAAAGCAATTCTTCTGTTTCAGGGGTTGCAGCTGCTCCTAATATTTATCATTTGTCTCAGTCTTATGACTGTAAATTAAATATCTTTGGGCTTTGGACTGTTGAATAAAATAAGCAAGTAAAAGTGAAATTTTATAGATGAATAAGTAAATATTTGGCAGATTCCATTCTCTTCATTGTATTGGGGTGGTACCTCATCACCTGGCCAAACACCAGTAAATGAGAAAATTTATTTTTTGTGAATTTGGCCGAACTAACCCTTCAGGGAAAGGAAGAGTAAACACAGAGCATGAAAAGACAAGGCTTCCGATACAACAACAGAAATAGAAATAGCTGAGAAAAAAACAGATTTATCACAGTGTTTGCAAACTGGATTCACAAACTGAAAGTGTTTTCTTTTTCTCTGCAACTCGACTCACTCAAGGCAACACAAAAATAAACGAATAGCGCACTTAGTTGGCAACACATAAAGCAGATGGCAAGCTGTCCATGGCTAGCGTGGGAGATACAGTGTAAATCACGTTCAGCATTGGGAGCGACAGACTGTCATAGCTGAGCTCTGTGGGGCTGGGCACGGCTTCCCACGGTTCCCACTTTTGTTTTGACCCGGCCGCCTCGTTCCCTGCGCTGAGCTCTCACACCACATACTGGTAGGTCTCAGCCTTCCCGTGGTCAGGGGTGGAGAAGGGACTAAACCACAATAAGGAGAAAGGGTGTCCAAATACCGCCCTCATGTTCATCCATTTAGTTTTTTTAGCCCATCTTCTCTCTTCCTTTTTCAACTGCTCTATGCCCTGAAAAACGAGAGACAACCAAACTTCAGTTGGTGGGCTTTTGCGAGCCAGTTAGTAATCACAAACCAATTTCCAAATACTGATTTTTTTTTAGACCCACTAAATATAAAAAAAAAAGAGAACCACTTCTAAAAAATCAGTAATTTCTTTACAAGCATAATATAAGCTGCTTGTGTCTTGTTGCCTTTTCCTGTGTGTGTTGTTCAGTCGTCTAAATGTCTCCTTGATGAAATGATCAAATGTCTCCCATATATCTGACCTAGAGTTGCAGACAAAAAGAAGTTAAAAGCAGGAAAGGGAGTTTGGTTTGGGGTGCTCCAATACACAGGCACACAAGTAGAATGATTTTAGGTTGGCACCAAACTACATAGAGAGGATACTGATTCCTTCTTCCACTGATACATGGACCATTTATTTTTCTATAAAAACACATTTGCATCTGTTAAGTACATCACACTTACCACCACTACCTAAAAGTGATTTCATGAGCAGATTGTTCAAGCTTCGCCAAGACAAGACATCTTTAAAGCCTACAGGTTAATTGCATGGCCTGCAATGCTGACTTTTAAGACTACTTCCACCTTGTGCTGGTGATGATACCAGCACACAAACTTAAGTCACAGGTCAGTATTTTGGTAGACATTAATAGCCTAACAAATATGTGTGCACATATAAATTACAGGTATATTAATATTAGGCCTCTGCAATATGACCAAAATTTAAAAAATATACAGCACTATATTTTCTGTCAATTCAATGAATATAAAGTTAAATAAAATGAACACATGGAAAGGCCTATTTCTTATTACATTTAGAATGATATACTTGACAAGTAAAAGTTACTTACTGATTATTTTTCAGATTTAAGAATGTAACAAAATATGACACATGAATGTGAAAGTAAGCCTGTGTAGACTCTCTTCGTACTGACATGATTCTTGCATAGAGTTTAAGAGTCTATGGCATATTTTGTATGCAGGTAAGACTCTTCATACCCAAACCACAACCACCTCTTTTAGGTATGTTTTGTTTTGTCTTGGCTGGTCCTCTCGTTCGGAATGACCCCGTTGTGTGTCTGTCTCTCCCCTTCATGTTTGTTGGTGTTGCCTTCATGCAAAGCGGCATCCAAATGATTCAAAATATTGCCATAGAGTGTGATTTGAGATACAACAAAATAAAAACGATAGAGAATGATATGAAACGAAAGACCTTTTTTCCATCGTCACATGATATATAGTATATCGCACAGCCCTAATCTATATATTTATATTTATATGATTAGTTTGAGTGTTGTCAAACATAATTGATAAACAAACCATAACGCCATAAGAAAACATAAATGATTTAGATTTAGTTATTGTTATCTAGTTTCAATTTTGTACTAAAGGCCAGAAGATCAATTTGAGAGTTCCAGCAGGTTCCAAAGGTTTTTTTTATTTTGGCTTTTTGTTTATACTTGGATCACAGATTGTGCTTTTGAGGTAACTGCCAAAATGAGGGAAACAGCTGAGAACCAAATCCCTTGATATGGAAAGAAAGAAAGTATCTGGGATAGGCTGAACAGAATGATTGCTAAGCCCTTATACTCAGACACAGTGACACACAGTTCAAACAAATATGAACAGTTAGAGGGAGGTGAAACTGAAACTGAACTAGAGCTGCATTAATCGCCAACTATTCTGATAATCAGTTAATAGTTTTGAGTCATTTTTAAGAATTTAAGAAATGTCCAAATGATCTGATTTCAGCTTTTAAAATGTGAATATTTTTGGGTTTCTTTAGTCCTCTATAGCAGTAAACTGAATATCTTTGGGTTTTGGACAAAACAAGACATTTGAGGACATCACCTTCGGCTTTAGGAAACAGTGATTAACATTTTCCACCATCAAACAAGTAATCGATTAATGGACAAAATGATTGACAGATTATTAGATAATGAAAATAATTAGTTGCATCCCTAAACTGAACTGTATTTGGTAATGAATTATTTAGTGAGTATATGGAGCCTGTGCTCAGTGGAGTTCAGTGTCCTGTATGAAAGGGGCATTGGTTACTGTTGCTACGTCTGCCAAGATCTGAATCCAAATGCAGCAAGTGCAAAGTTTACAATGACATCAGCAATGGATCCTTGGTATCAGACAGAAGTAGACAAAGCAGGCTTCTTATTTTTAGCCGCAACCATCGATCTGGCTGAAATGTGATTTCACAACCACTGCTCTGCCTGCTACCATCCACACATTAACACTTTCTTCCTCTGCAGAAGTACTGGTCTTACCATTAGCACTGTCAAGGCTGCACACTGACACACACCACAAATGTACCTCTGAAGCACCCAATATTGAAGTTTCTTTCTTTTTGGCAGTTACTTGCTTTTAAGACAATTCTTTCAGTCAAATGAAAGACTGCACCTTATTCTACATCAGGCTGCAGAATGAGAGCCGTCACTTAGCTGTTAACAGTTTGAATTACACATAGAAGGTCAAAGGTGCTAATGTTAAAAAGCAAAAGGGTGGCAGCAGCAGCAGGGAGGGGAGCAGGAGGAAGTTGTGAGATAAGAGGAAAGGACTACTACATGGTCGCTACATGGATCACTTACGGTCTCGTCGGTACAGATGGAGTGGACTTGGGTGCCGAACATCACAGAGGTGAAGATGAGGAAGAGGAGACCCTCAAAGCACAGGAGTATGAGGAGGATGACTGTTGCTGGAGGAGAGAAGGAACTGCACTCTGGGGGATGGTGGGACACGGAGGAAGAGAAGTGAAGGGGCAAAAAAGAGGGCCATATGAGGAAGTGCTGTACACTACAATCAAAGAAACTACTGCACTCTACTGGTAGTCCCTCTGCAGCAATACTGTCAACAGGTATGCCCACCTGTCACCTGCTGGGGGGGGCTTCAGTATAAGAGGAAGGCAAATGAGTGTTCAGGAACAGGAGGTTAAGGTTGGATTGTTAGGCAGGTAGAAAAACGTGTCTGTAGTTTTAGCACATACACAAAAATACAAAATAAATCTGGAAAACAAACAGCCAGGGGTTGGCTGCAGAAATGGATTCTATTGAAGCCCCCTGGTAATGCCAGGGAATCACTAGTCACTATCTCCATACTGAAGTCAAGACCTGGTTAGTGAGTTAAGCTGCTAAACTGAAGAACCACTATGCTAGCAGGCAGCTGTGCAAAGTAGGTCATGTACACGTTTGGGAACAACAAGGTGGGTTTATGTGTGTTGGAACTAAACCACAGACAAAGTTTCTGTTGCATTTAATATCAGCCCTATGGAACCTGATGCTTCCCCCCATGACACACAAATGCTTTAACAAGACAAACTCTAAATATGGCTGAGAAGTTAAAAGAAGTCCAAGACAACGGTCCACAACTAAGCTGCAACATACAGTATGGTACATTGCAACCAGGATGACAAACAGGTTCAGGCAGTTTAAAGGCCTCGAGATGTTTCCCATGGCAGTCAGTGCACATTACGGCCCCTGGGTCAGTATTGAAAATGTGGCTCGCGTGCTGACAGAGTCTGCTGATGTGCAGACCACATGCAACTAATAAAGGCTCAACCCAGTTCCTTCAAAATACAGCACCAAACCTGGCAATTCTCTAGCAGCACACACAGCAGAGCCAAAAAGAAATGTTTGCACAAAATGTAATTCATACCTGTCAATATTGTATTTTCGATAGCTGTAGAGAGGACGACCTAAGGGGAAAAACTATAATATCCCAACAGTGCTGTAAGGTCTAAAGAGGAATTACTGTATTAATCCTATACTATTCCTTTTCTTATCCATAGGCACTATACATTACTACAAGGAAAACACTACTTATTTCATATCATAAAGAGGCCAAATGAACCCTGCTCAAAAGTATGGCCTGTGTAACCAATGCATGATAGAGCTTATGCTACTGTGCCCCAGAACTCTATTATCCCAAAACAACCCAATAAACACAGGAGGAACATTAAGGTTTTGTAACAATGAATTTCAATTAGCTTCATTAACATGGCATATCAATACATCGGTTTGTCTAAAGTATAAAAGAGGAAATAGTGGATAAAGATAATTAAGCAATGTTGATAATACAAACTGGTGATACAGGAATATATACATTTATATATAAAGCATAATATGTTTTATTTTACTGATATAAAATGCTCATGTCCCAAAAAAAAAAACATGTAGAGAAAGACTGTCTTTTGAGTAAGTGAATTGAGAGCTACAGAGGTTTTTTTTTTTTAAAAAAAAGGAACACTCACTTGTCCAATCATCTTCAAAGCAGTTCAGGAAATGGAAGACCACCATGACCAGAGCGTGGAGAGAGATGAGTGCAATGTACATCTAGGTTCACGAAACAAAAAAAGGAGACACAGTGAAGAACCATTCACATACACTAACTGCAAACAGAGTGGTATTCACTGAGGAATCCCTCTCATCTGTGTCTGTACTGCATTACAACAGCAACTACTACTGACTTCCAATGTAACACCTCTTTTAAGAGGACTGACAGTGTTACACAGACACAAGAAAGCCAGTCTGATTGTCAAAGGCTGAAAATTGGTCTTTGGAAACCTTCAGTTTATAATTTCATGAAAGTTCTTCCTCACATTATAAGAGATTCATTCTTGCAGTGAACTTACTGTGAAAAGCACAAAGTACTTTTGGTTGTTCTCCCCAACACAGTTATTGACCCAGGGGCAGTGGTGGTCCATCTTCCGTATGCAGCGTTTGCAAACACTGCGAGAAAGACAGCAAGGCAAGTGTGAGGAGAAAAATGATTAGATCTAAATAAAATGAATACTGTACACACCCTCCAAGGAATTAACAATGATAATGGTGTATGAAGACAACAGAAAGTGAAGGGCAATACGTTCTGGGAAGAGCAAATGGGAAGAACAAATGAACCAAAGTCAGAATTTCTGATAACAGCCTGCATCTTTACTGCACCAAAATACTGCAGCTGCAAGTGTGAGATTGGGTTTGTGAATGCCAATGCAGCAGAGAGCTTTTCATGTCCTTTTTGCCCTACCTGCAGTGGTGTGCACGGTCAGGCTTGATGCTGCAGCACTTGGGACATTTGTAGACCACCTGCCCTGGTTTCAACTGAAGGCTTTCTATGTATTCCTTAGTAGCGTTCCCTTTTGGCACCGCCCCCTAGCAAGAAACATGACCACACAGCAGATGACTCCAGTGTAATTTGCAGCTCATTAATCACCATAATAAATGAAGTGGGTAGAGACTAAACATACTTCAGCTCCATTCAGCTCCATTCAGCTCCAACATCAGGACTATATAAAGCTAAAGAGCCTAAACTTGTATGACATTGCGAGTTAAAGCATGACAGACTCTCGCAAGTTCCACTTACGGGGTCGGTGCACATGGCCCTGAGGTGTGAGGCAAGGGCAAGGAAGGCCAGAGTGTTGAACAGGGTGCCGTTCACAATGCTGTACGTCAGATTCTTGGAGGGCAACAGCATCACAAACAAAACCACAAACTCTGCGTAAAACACCAGGAGCCAGGTGATGACGGCGCAGATGATGCCGCAGGCGTCCCTGATGAACCACATGGCCGAGGCTGAGGAGGAAGTGATGACGTCTTTGGAGATAGGGATGCGCTGCTCGGCCTGTAGGCAGTTGGTCCCGGCCCCACCCTGCCCACGCCCGTGCTCCACATCCCTGCATCTGTGCACCGGGCTCTTCATCCTTCATCTAAGCTAGATGGCTGCTGCTGCTGCTGCTGCTGCTGCCGCTGCTGCCAACGGACCTACTGTGCCTTCAGGCCTTTGTCTCAGTCACCGCATGCTGGAAGAAAGGAGCATGAGGGTGGCAGGTTAGCAGGTACCATCATAAAACTTAATATAGAGGAGAGAGAGAGAGCAAAGATCATCTAACTACATTCATAATGCATCAAGAACTGGGTGTCTTTCTAAGCTAAACTGTTTCCTTGAATTCCTCTGGGATCAAGTGATAAAGTAATTGATGATGGTTTTACTGTAAATGTATTATTCTGTTCCCTCATGGGAATCTAAGCATTGTATAGTTTGACATGAATGTTCTCACTTTAAAAAAAAAAGTGTAAACACACACACACACACACACACACTTTTTTGAATTGAAGCATATGACACAGCACAACAGTTTATACAGACTAAACCATCGATGATACAGGAAATGCTCACTGAAATTGAATTTTCCTGTCCTACATTAAAACATGTTGGTGTAAGCGGGCAAACACAGAAGGTCTAATGCAATCTGGGCCTTCATATAACCAGGGGCGTAATCACAAGTAAACTCTGTTTATCCACTTCTTTGAAATGAAGCTGGGTTTACTCATCTATTTTCTGATCAACTGTATCAATCAATGAGGGGAAACTACAGTTTAGCCACCTCTGTATTGCCACTATTCCCCTGCTTATACAGGTATCTCAGTTACTTTTAGATAACTATTTAGACTTATCTGCGCGCTTTCAAACTAGTTTTCACACACTCTCAGTTATAACACCTGGTGTTCAGGCGTTACAGCTGACTCAATATGTAGATGCTTTTTAACTTCAGTTTGAATTTCTATTTTTCCAAATGAGTTGGAACACCCTGGCAACTTCACAGGTATCCCTTGGGGTACATGCACGCCTGGCTGGAAATCCCTGGGTCAGTCAACCACTGAAGACAAAACAGTAAATACTCATGTTCAAAAAGCTCTCACTTAAAAATATACTATACCAATTATTTTTCTGTCAATAAAATAATCATTAAGCCTCTAGTTCAGGGGGGCTGGACCCTTAGTAGGGGTCGCCAAGGCTTCACGTGGGGGTTGCGAGGCCTTCTTGATTTGAAGGGATGTAAGAAAACTTAAATATACACAGTACACCAATATATTGGCATTTAGATATTTTTTGTCAAGCACACTAAATTAAATTGTTATTTTTAAAGTTTAGATTTAAGATTTAAACTTTGAATGAAACTGAACCAAAGTATATTGAGAAAGCAGGCCATTCTAGAGGAGGGATTTTGAACTATAGCCATAATATATGTGACTTAGTTGGGGGTTGTCAGTGTTCTCAATGATAGAACAGGGGTCCACTGCTGCAGGGCAGTGTGTAGCACACAGACTGCCAGTACACAAGCACAACTTCAAGCAATGAACAGGCAGTAGTGTTAAGCTTTGTATATCCAAAACACTAACGTTACACCTGACATGAAGTAACGTTACATGACACAGCAGATTTGTGTATGACACATTACACAAGATAGACAGACTGAACTGAACTTTCCTGTTCTCCAGTAAAACAGGCCTGTGTAAATGGGAAAAGGAGACTTCCTGTGCTCTGCCATTCAATGCAATACAATCCCATTCATTGTGACAATTTTCATCAGTAAATGAATACAATCCAAATCTTCAACACATCAGCATGGATTAATCAGTTTTAGGTCTTGTACAAGTATATGTAAGCAAATTAGTCACAAGGACAAACAGAAAGAGAGTTTGTTTGTATGGCACTTTGCCCTGCTAGTGAGGCTCTTAAAGTCTTGTTAAATTTCTTTGCTGAACGGTTTCCTGATTATTTGAACAAATAACACACTATAACCGCTGATGTACAAATCATTTGGCACATGTCTGAGCTGAAACCATTATATTTAAGAATGAAACAGATGAGAGTAATAATTTAATAGTACAAAAACATTTGTCTTATACAGAAAAGACTAAGTTAATGGTCAAGTTCTTATTACAGCAATATATAAGTCATAAGGCTCACATTTTTTCAGGTTGTACTGTGACTGTAATTTCTTCCTCTCACTTGCTGGCCAGGGAAAAGGTTCCTTTCCAAGATGCAAAATTCCAATGTAAGAAATGGAGGACAAAATATCCACATTGTTGCCAAAATGTATTTCTGAAAATAAATCAGTGTGGCCTTCTCCAGTTGACCCAGAAATGCACAACAGCAGCCACCCTTGACTCTGTTTGACCTGAAGTGAACAGAAGCCTAATTAGTACATTTGGTAATGCCTGTGTTTCTTGTTCAAGATTGCTGTAAAAAAAAGGTCAATAAAACTTTTAGCCTTCTCATCTTTCACAAGCAGAATGGCATATTTCTTTCTGGAAATCTCACTCAAAAAAAAACAGTTCACAGTTACTATAAAAATGTTTTAAACTTTCATACATTCAAAGGGACGTGCAGTACAAACTGGAACTTGTCATAAAAAAACACTGAAAAAATGATGGCATGTCATGGATCAAACAAGATTTTTTACCTGACTCAGCAACACATACCTCACCTGAACTTATTATGGTTCCAGTAAAATCAGAAAATGATTTCCCAGAAAAAGATGTCTTACTGACAATCAATGCAAAAAAACACAATACAAAAAAAGTAACTAAATATTCATTATAAAAATACTACTCTTCATTCTTGACACGATGCCTGATCACTAAACAATAAATACTCTTACGACGCACCATTTAAATACTATTACCTATTCTCTCTAATAGCATTTCTCCTGAACTTCACAATACTACCTAAGATTATGCTGGTGCAGCACTTCAGGACAATAATGTATACTCTGTACTTTTGATTTAACAACCAACGCATAGCTATTACAGCTCTTACCATAACAAACCTGCCAACCGGAACTTCTTCATACAGAAACTAATCACATGAAAATTAAATGAAAAGCAAACCACTATCAGGCCACTTCAGATGAAATCTCATGGGAATCCTACTACAACTCTAGCTCTCAACAAATGTATCAATAAGACCATAAAATAAATAGATCACCACAATAAATTATACACCCACTACGGACCTAACTAAGATCTACGCGCACAAAACATGTGTCGGAAAGTCCTTCTGACCGTCGACCAAGGCTCGACAACCCACTTTACATGGTCGATCCCAAAATTAGGAGACATCAGCACTTCTCCACGTCAAAAAGACACGTCGTGTCTTAGTTGGCTGGCAGGTGCGCCGAGGGGGAAACGGGAGTGGCATACCCGAAAGAGAAGGAGCACCCACACAGCAGTCATCACCAGCGAAGCGTACCGCAAACAGATGCTCGTGTTTCACGGGATACTCAGTGCAGACCCTCCCTTACTAAAACACCGCATCAACATGGTAAAATAAAGGCTAATAGGCAAAGCAGACTTGTAAAGGACGCTGCAGGAAAATTATCGAATATCAACCGCTTACGTAAATGCCGACTCAATCTAACGCAGACTTATATGCGCGGCGATCGCGTGAGCTATAAAACCACACACATGAAAATGCTAAAATATGATAAAGCTATGTCGGACCTCAATTAACTTATCCAACATAATCGAAGGCCACCAAACAAACCAAAATAAAATCCATATACAAAATTGTTGCTTTAACCTATAAGCCACACCTTAACTACAGAAAAAAAACAGATACGTCCGCGAGGGTTTTTAAAAACTAGTACATCTTGAGCATTTAAAGCTAGCGGCGCATATGTTATTTGTACTTTAAACCCCTATGCCTAAAGACTAAAAGATAACTTATTTGCATATGTCTCTGATTCCTTACCATAGCAAGTATGACAAGACATAAATACGTTCACACCACTGGAAATAACACTGGGCAAACCACAGTACCCAAAAATATATGTCAGCAGGCTACCAAACCACATTTATCTGACACACTCTCTCTATAAGCAATGTGGAACACAAAGCGCCCCGACCACCACCCATTACACACAGACCGGCACCCACACCGTAGCTTACAGGGTGAAAGAATCGACGAAAGAACTAATTATAATAGATAGTTGCTACTATGCGCTGGATTTGTATAATGACCACCAGGCTCCACCGGTCATCATAATTAACTCACACTCTATTCTGACCATATTTGCACACACACTGAGCGGCCGATAATCAATACACAGACTGCGCGCAAATATGCCAGATGCCATTCACTAGAAAATCACACATGCAAGATAAGACAGACAGCTGCTGCTTGTTGGACATCCGTGCAATAGCATGATGACAATAAATGACAACAAAAACACAATTCAGACCGCAACTCACTCTGAAAGAACTGTCTTAAACCATGTCATGAGAGAATTACCCACCCCCCCCCCAACCCCTAAAAATGTTGTCTGACAAACTACATTCTCACATAAATTACACTAAAATAGAACTGTTTAACTTTAAAAAAAAAAAAAAAATGTTTTTTTTTAAACTATTCTAAAGAAATAATAGATATATACACATGCACAATTTGTCAAACTGACATAAAATTATTTCAACTTTGTGAGTAATCTTACTGAGGCCCTAATTGATGATCAAT